AAAACACACACACACACACACACACACACACACACACACACACACACACACACACACACACACGTGCGTAAGTTCGCACATGCACACACAAATGCCACACAAACCGGAACCCACATGCTTCTGATTAATTATAAGCAGAACATTGCCCAGATGAAGACGGCAATCAGGGATATGACGAGATGGAGGTCATAAGAAAATTCAATGGATACGAACACCTAGTAAGAGTGCAATAAACAAAGACTGTACAGAGACATCAAAATGTGACATTTTCCAAGGAAACAGGAGCACGGATCCATGCAGAAGCAGGACATCATATATCTCGGTATAAACATCATCATCATGAGAAGTGGATCACTTGTGTCTCGGTAACGTCATAATCTTTCACAAGCCTATTTGATATTCTAAACCGTACCTTACGCATCTTGCTTTTTGCAATTATCTCCTCCATGACCTCCTTCTTTGACTTTGGGCGCTCCTGGAAGAAAAAGCCAATAAAGCCACACCAACAACAACAACAAAAAAAAAAAAAAGCTTGTTAGCGCGCGCCTCTAGCAAGCGTGCTGATTTAGAAAAAAAGTCAAGATTCCCTCTCTGGGAGAGCAAAAGACCTTGGTTGACAAAGCCAACTGCCAAACCGAAAGTCAAGATTCTCTCTCTCTCTCTCTCTCTCTCTCTCTCTCTCTCTCTCTCTCTCTCTCTCTCTCTCTCTCTCTCTCTCTCTCTCTTCTGTGTGCCAAGGGCTAACTGGGGGTGTGTTCATTCTCTCATCAAACTACTGGCACTTCCATATAAGCTGGGTAGAAGACTAGAAGTGCTTTTCTTTTTTTTCAATGGCATCATCCCTACTGAAAAGGCTATGTTCTGTGCAAGTCGTTGCTGCCGAGTCATGAAGCAGTGCTTCTATCCCGTCCTCAGCCCGCACAAGCTTTTCCTTGGAAAACAAAGCAAATAATAAAAATGAATCAAAAGATTCAAAACATTATTATCCTGCCCTGAACCTGCAGAACACTTTCCTACATTAAACACACACACACACACACACACACACACACACACACACGCACACACACACACACACACACACACACACACACACACAGAGTAATCCTAGCAATCTATCTGGACCCCAATTGAATGAAGGTGGCCACAACCTACTCCCTGCCTCCACAATCACTAAGGTAAGCATCACCAGAGAACAGGATCACCTACTCGCACCTGCCACAGGCTGCCAGTGCAGCTTAAGGGCTTGGCCTCATCAGTGATATGCTTACGCGAAGCCTAACCACTTAAAAGACCACCTTCATGCCTCTGTTATGTTTATGCTGAGCCTAACCACTTAAACGACCACATTCAAGCCTGTGAATACGGACGTATAACATCAGGAGCGCATGACTCTTAGGTCTAGATCCACAGGTGCAACACTTACACAACGTAGCATGAACATAACCAGTTTGACAACCAGGTTCATTCTTTCTCAAGAACCAGTCAACACACCCAGAGGGGCAACTACGCATATACCCCAAAGGGTGGCCTCACCTTAAACTGCAAGTACACCGCCAGAAGGGCAAACTTGCAAATTGAAAACGAGTCATTCCAAAAGTTCGGATGAACAGTGCTACCTGACCAAAAAGGCTGGCGGCGCCAGCCAGAAGAAAACAAAACACCGCGCTGGTGTTTCAGCAAAGCTTGGTGGGCACGGGGAATCCGCCTCGGCGAAAAGACGGTTGGATGCACTGGTGGTTTAAGGGCCTGGTCCCACTGATGAATGTGCTGAGATGGCACGTTTCTGACCAGTTTCATGGTGAGGTTCATCATTCCAAGCACGAATATTGTACCGGGGGGGGGGGTGCCAAGTTTGGTGATTGTTGGGTCTTGGAGATGACTGTTTTGGCCACTGATGCATTTAGGGCTCTGTTAACCCCTTCTCTTCTTGACCCAATAGAATACTCGCTCCCCCAACAAAACGCATGGTCCCACCTCAGATATGACAAACTGTGGCACTTCGCCATAGGTAGAAGGACGAAACGGTCACACCATCTTGCACCAAGTTTCCTAGATTGAAGCTGTCTGAACACATCCAAAAAAAAAAAAAAAAACACATCCAATGTCTACACATCCCAGTCCAGATCTTGCACCTCGGCATTCTGACAGTGGCAAGCTTGAAATTCTGGCAATGACAGCTGACGATCGCACCCTTCTTATCTCTTTTTTTTTTGTTTTAATTTGGTCCATTTCCCAACTTATGCGTGTCATCCTTGCGCAGGGGCCATGCTAATCTTCTCTATCTGTATTGTTCCAATTTGTAACAGATGTCCGAAGGACTACCCTTCTTTTATCTCTTCTAAATTCGTTTACAGAAATGAATATCTGCCTCTGATGAAAACATTGTGCATCACCATCTCTCTGTCGACTGCGAGAAAAGGGGCAAAAAAATTATTAGAGTGGCAAAAAATTGTAAAACGACCGGTTCACACTGGCCTAAGCTGACAGATCTACCTTCCAAGACTCGAGAGCCTGCAACAGAGCCTTTATCAAAGTGGACTGCTGGATTCGCTACCAGCCGCGGCCCGAATCGACATGATCTTACCGTGTATATCGGTAAGAGCACCGTTTAGTTTCATGTGAACTGGTGGTGATAACCACCACTCTTTTTCTTTCTTTTTTTTTTTTTTTTTAAGGCCGATGGCCTTGAGATATTCTCATCGGACTAACCAGCCTCGCTAAATTCAATCTTGTGTCGAATCTGACACCGGGTGGCCTTGTTGCCTTCAGGGAAACCCTAATTGGGTACACCGGCGAGGGGACAGCCGGTAGCAGAGGGGCCCACCATCATCTCAGTGGCCAGTCGCTGTGCCTCCCCGATTACACCTCCCCCTATGAACATCAGCAGAGACTGCTTTTTAATGCCAATTGGGGGGACCAACGGCTATCTCTAGATGGCAAGCGCCAAGCCTTACCCACTACCTTTCTCAGTGTTGGGAAAAGTGGGAAAATAGGATATACCACAAACTTCGGAGGTCCCGTGGAGGCTCGGCAAAAAGAATAAGTTTGTGCTCACACTTTCACTACTTCCAGAACGCATCTAACAGATTCTAACTGCTTTCTTGGCTTGGTTCAGCTTTAGTTTTTTTTTTTTTTTTCCCTCTCATTTTCTTTTGAGTGCCCTGCCAGCGAGGCAGGGTACACGTGTTGTACGGACTGCTGACACTTTGATCACGGTGGGCATACTTTCACACGCACTCTGGATTCTGAATCCAGCACGAAAGGCATCCATATTCTTGTGTTTTTTTTTTTGTTTGTTTGTTTTGTTTTTTTTTTCGTTTTCCCTTTTCGAACGGGACTTCCGTGATACTCGCGTTGCTGTAAAGGCCAATGTTGAGGGAATATTCTCACACACAATCTGGATTCTAAATCCAACTGCTTTGGCGTCCGCATCCACCTGCTTTTTTTTCCTTTTCCTTTTTCAGTTTTCTACAGCCCTGCCGTGATGGGCAGGCTGCTACAATGCCCTCGCTGAGGGCGTCACACACACTGTACAGACTGCATCCACCTGCTTTCACATCCATCGAGTTCTTGTTTTTTTTTCCCTTCTGTCCATATTCTTTTTCGAATGCTACGCTCGTGAGGAAAGTTTTTTTTTATTATTATTTTTTTTTTTTTGGTAGAGTACCAGAAAACGAAATACAATGAGACCTAGGCTTGGCAAAAACTGGGCGCGCGGTGAAATTCAGAGAGTCGGCAAAAACAGGATCGGAGGTGGTGGTGGATTAAGGCCCCAAAAAAGAAAAAAAGGAAACGGGCAAGAAATGTCGTCACCTCCTCGTCGATTCGATCGGCAGCTGAAGCTCCCTTCTTGGCCACAAACCCCCCTCCAAAATGGAGCCTCTCCACCATCTCCCTGTCAACTGCAACAATGTACGCCAAAAAGAAAATTCAAAGAAATTTTGAAAGTAATTTCAAACAAATTTCAAAGAAACTTCAACTTATGCATTACCAAATCTTTGACACCCTCAATCGTCCCAACTTGAATCACGATTGGCAGAATCAAAGTGATTACGAAAGGTGAAACTCACACTTGTAATAGAAAAAAAGAGAAGAAGAAAGTCACACTTGTGCGATTGCCAGGACCAAGGTCTGGCATCACTGATGAATGGTTAAGAAGAGGTTAAGCACTTAGCGCTGGGTTCCGCTACCTCCCCCTCTCTCCGCCTCCCCATCTCTATCCCTCCCCCCTCCCCGCTCCCAACCGTCTCAACTTGAATCACGATTGGCAGAACCAAAGTGATTATGAAAGCTGAAACTCACACTTGTAATAGAAAAGAAGAGAAAACGAAACTCACACTTGTGCGATTGCCAGGACCAAGGTCTGGCATCACTGATGAGGTTAAGAACTTAGCGCTGGGTTCCGCTACCTCCCCCTCTCTCCGCCTCCCCACCTCTATCCCCCCCCCCTCCCCGCTGCCTCCCCCACACCTCTCAGCTTCAGTCGGTCGCCGCCATCACCACCACCACCTTCTCAGTAAAGAGCTCCTTCAAATGACACCTCCCCATTCCTCCCCCCCCCTCCCCGCTGCCTCCCCCACACCTCTCAGCTTCAGTCGGTCGCCGCCATCACCACCACCACCTTCTCAGTAAAGAGCTCCTTCAAATGACACCTCCCCATTCCTCCATCTGGCACCCACCATCTTTTTTGCTTTTGTGAAGTTACTTCTGTGAGGGTAAAGGCCTCGGCAGCCGCCCAAGAAAACGCAGGCAGGCAGGCCCTAAGTGAAGACCGCGCCTGACAGGCTACTGGGGCCCTGCTTGGAGCGCAGCCCAGGTAACTACCCAGCAGCTCTGTGAGGACAAATAAACACCACCGAGGTACCTGGGCCCCGTAGGAACTGCCTACCAGAGGGCCAGACCCCGGCCAGAGGACAGACAAAGAACAGGAGACCGGGCATACACACGTTGGGCAGGGGGCAGTATCATGCAGCATTGTGGTGGCTGCCAGCAACCACACCACTGTATTGCGGTGCCGAATGACCTTCAGAGAGTTGAGAAACCTCCAGCAGAAGTTCCAATGATTGATTCCTAARMAAAAAAAAAAAAAAAAAAAAAAAAAAAAAAAAAAWCCATACCAAGTCCCTGTCCCTGCTGAAGCCATCTGATG